ATTATTTAACAATGTATAATATCTTTTTACCCATTATCGCCTGAAACACAGGTTGTCCTAGTTCAGGCACCCAATATTATGAACTTGGTATAGCTTTAAGCAAAACTGTATATTCCAGATTATGTGTTCTTCAATAAATTTTATTTATTTATTTATTTATTTATTTATTTATTTATTTATTATTTATAGCGTTGTGTTTTGCCGTGATAATGAAGCTACCGGGGACTCAATCCTCAAATCTTCTGACCGTTAATCCCCCCCGTTCCTTCTCCTGATCTGAGCCGAAGTCGCGGTGCCTCATTGCGCTTACCCCGCAGCCCCAGCCTGTGTGATGTTAAAGCTTAATACATCTTGTCAGAAACAGACCAACATTCAAGGCACGGAAAACACCGCCCAGAGGTTTTAAGACAATAATATTTTTATTGGAAAATCCCCGAACACAACTTATCCTCAATCTAACAAGTACAAAATAGAAATATGTAGTTTTGAACAAGGGATTTCCTTCTTTGGTTTACCTAAATAGGAGGAAAACTTGCTTCCAAATAAGTCAATTGAGGTGCCATGTTCCCAATGACTCAGTACTAATTCCAAGACTGATAGTAATTAGCAGGACGACAAAATGAAGCTCCCTTTAATTTACTTCGTGTGTTAAACCAACCGCGGCATGCACAAAGCAAGCAACTCGATCAGCTAATAGCAATTATGGTACAAAGTTCATTTGTTTATACTAATTTAAGGTCTATTTTGGCGCGTCTTGAATATGGGAACTTATTACTTTTTACAAATGTATGTAAGTACATAAAACTTTCATATGTTGAGTGACTTGAAAACCGTTTTTTTTTTGTCTTATATCTGTAAACTATAACACGGATTACCTGATGGTAAGCAATCAGCGCCGCTCATGAACACTCGTAATACCAAAGAAGTATCTACAATTGCGTTGTCGGCCTGGGTTATAAGGGATTTGAGGATTGAGGTATGTAAGGGGGAGGATCAGGCCTCCGGTAACCTCACTCACACTGCCAAGCACATCGTAAGTATTGCTTCACGCCGGTTTGATTGTATCAATTCCGTGGTATCACTCCCGCCCATTCGTGCTGAAGCATGGCTCTCCCACAATTAAATTACAGATTACCCACCCAAAAAAAATACAGATTTGTGCCCAATAAGTTCTTTGGTGACCTTCCAACCAACGGGACGTATGCATTTAGACCAGTAGATACATAAACGGGCCAATATATTTATTAATCTCTCAGCCTATTATAATATTGTCCTATAGGTTGATGACCAACTCAGTACGAAGTGAGAAAGGTCATGGTCGGGAACGTACAAAAAGCCTGCAAAGTTATTTAGTTTGTAGATACGAAAACAAAGACAATAAGCATAGTTTGGCTATTGAGACAGCCAAGGACAACTTGGCACAATATTGGCTTAATTATAACCTAATAATTAAGTGTAACCATAAATCTTTCATTTTTGAGAAGAAAAAAAAAACATCATAATACTTCTCTCGCCTAGGGTATGGCAAGGAGTGCACTTAGTACCCCCCCCCCCCTCTCTCGTTCCTTCTCCTGAACCAGGCCCCAGGCTGAGGCTCCGGTGACTTACTTTGCGCTTGCCCCGGAACCCCGACTGATTATCTGCCATGTTGGCTCCTGTCAATGGTAGTCTAATGGCTCTTAAAGGCGGTGTAACAATAACTAATGTTTCATTTCATTACTTGTAAGTAACTACATAAGGAAAAATATGTCGAATTTAGAATTAGTTTTGAATGATCAAACAATATTTTAATATGGTTATTAGTATGAATAGTGTAATAATATATTTATTCATAATATTAGTATAACAACATATGACATCATTGTTTTTCCCCCTGAAAAGTAGGAATATGATTTACATGTAGCATTTCTATATTACAAAGGTTATAATTATATTTATTTCTTTGTTTATTGGATCGATAATAGAGGCTCCGTGGTTACATACATTTTACCATAAGAACACGTACAATACAAGTACGTATGTACGCATGCAATTAGGTATACGCAGCCACATCATTCGCTAATAACTTGATTGGTACAACCAGTTTCATAGATCGTAAATTAATCTAAAATAAATCAAAAAAAAAATATAAACAATTAAAATATGAAACAACAAAAAATACGAAATTGAAAATCTATACTTAAAATAAATCTGAAGAGAAGTCAAAATTCTGTACATGAAATATATTTTCAAAATAATTATCAGGGGATGATAAGTGATCGATACTGATGTCAAAAATGCAATCAGTAAAAATTTTGTCTGTCTGTCTGTATGTCTGTATGTCTGTATTTCTGTATGTCTGTATGTCTGTATGTCTGTATGTCTGTATGTCTGTATGTCTGTATGTTCCTTATAGAAACAAAAACTACTCGACGGATTTCAACGAAACTCGGTACAATTGTTCTTTATATTCCTAGGCAGGTTATAGGATACTTCTCCTTACACTACAATTAATAGGAGCAGAGCAGTGAAGGGAAATGTTGGAAAAACGAGAGAAATTGCTCCATTGTTTTAAGCTTCAACCTTAATGGTTAAAATTACATAGAAATCATGTATCACGAGAATATTCATCATAAAATTATCTACAAATATCCTACAACAGTATGTGTCTATCTTTTATGGTTGACTCACAATAACACATGTAACTCCTGATAGATTGCCAGAAACTTATAACATGTTTTGTGGCGCGCTAAAAATCGATAATCTATCGGTTTTTGAGTTGTTTTAATGTGTTGCTGTAAGTTTTCCTCAAAATTCTGTGTTTATTTTATTTCAATCAACTCTGTCTATCTTTCTGTCTCTGCTCCACACCTAAACTACTGAACCGATTTGGATAAAATTTTGTACAGACATATTTGAAACTCGGGAAAAAATAGGATAGTTTATATCCCGGAAGGAGAACTTCCGTATATTCCCGTCCCTACGAGATCGGGAACTATGTGGGTAAAACCAAATATCTGCCAGAAATCGCTATTTCACGCGGACGAAGTCGATAGCAGAAGCTAGTAAGAAAATAAAATAATAGTGAGGAAGCATACAACACAAACTTAAGTATGGGAAAGCCATGCTTCGGCACGGCCGGATTGATACTAGGGCCTCAAAGAAAAATAGCGTGAAACACAACGCTGTTTTGCCGTGTGAGTGAGGTTACCGGAGGCCGGAAATATCCATCTCCATTAGAACAACCAGATTGCCCAATGCACCTGGTTTCTCACTTATTCAAATATGGATATACACTTTTTTAAGATTGGAAAACCAACAATTAAGCATTATGGCAATAATGCCCGCAAGGCACTTGAATTTTTTGGGATTTAAGCATTGGGGAGTGTAAGGATTGGACTTTCGGTAACCTTACTTATGTACGTGGAGACGCTATGGGTGTTTCACGCCGGTATTCTGTAAGGCCTTGGTGTGTTTCCGGTCGTGCCCACCCATTCGTGCCGAAACATGGCTATCCTACTCTTTATATTCTGTTATTGATGGAATATATTTCTCTTCAATCTTTCATCCGCTTTTTTTGAAAACAAAATAAAAGTTACTTACCTCACAGTGAGAGAATAAGACTACGAACAACGACATTCAATGGACATTTATATATCCTATCTTATCATCTCTTGAGTAGCGACGATCAATCAAATTGTAGGTACACTGGTTCACAATAAAAAACCAATTTATTATGTTCTCGCATCGTATGATCTCTCCACTCATTCAACGGTCAATTTATGCTGGTTTTCTTAGCTTGGGGACAATGGTCTCTCAGTTAATCCTACAGTTTGACTGAAGACAGGCCCGTTAATAACATAATCGGTTTCAATAAAACTGTTGTGACGTCATAGCTGTACCATAAGACTATCTATACATACATGTTTACTATACATAGTATACTATGCATGTTTGAAAAAGGTCAATAATAAATACGGTAGTTTCCAACTAGTCAAATTCAATACTTTTATCCGAATGTCAAAAACGATACTTTTCTATGAAAGTAAGTATGAAAAACTGAGTTAGACTGAGTATTTTTGCGCCAAATTCTTTATTTATTTCTTAAAAAATAGCTAAAAAATATGTATAAACGATCGATGATTAAAAGTAGGTATAGTTATTTTTGAATATTTTATTGTATTGAAACGTCGAATTAATTTATCTTTGACCTGGGAAACTACCCAATTAGTTTTAAAGTACTTGCCTATTTATTAAAAGTGGAAGACCCATGTTTCGGTACGAATGGGCCGGCTCGACCGGAGTGACACCACGGCCTCACAGAAAACCGGCATGAAGCAACACTTACGTTATGTTTCACCGTATGAGTGAAGTTACTGGAGACCCAATCCTTCTCGCTCCCATCCTCAATCCTTAATCCTCAAATCCCCTATCCTTAAATCCCTAACAACAAGAGGCCGGCAAAGCACTTGTAGCAGCTGCTTTGGTACTACAGGCGTCCACGGGCGGCACTGATTGCGTACCATCAGGTAATCCGTCTGCCCATTTGCCGACCTAGGCTATGACATCAACGAGAGATGATCTCCGGCCACCATAAGTGCGGGTCTGCGGACGGCGAGTAAGGGTAGCTCGCCGCCCGACCAGAACCAACCCCGAGCGTAAGGCGCGTAGCGTTCCGCGCGCGCCTCAATGAGCTGAGCTCAATACTCGTAGACCACAAACGACGGACCACAGACGGGGACGGGGGTTAAGCGCAATGAGGCACCGCAGCCTCGGCAAAGACCAGGAGAAGGAACGAGGGAGTTTTTAGTCTGTAAGAGTCTGAAACTCTCTCTCGCCTTACCCTGGGCGGTAGAAGTCATTTGACGATTTTCCCTTGACAGAAAAAAGGCTATGACATCAAAAAAAAATATGTATGTACATAGATATGACACATACTTAATTCTATACATTCTAACATGATTGGCAATAATACCGTTGTAAGACAATGATAACTTGATATGTCAATATTATTGTTACAGAGGCTGAACTATGACGATACATAGTATGACAGTCACCGATGCGCGGGAGTCAACCAAGAAACACTGCTGTCGAGGGTAAGTTAATCTATAAGTTAGTTACTATTATAAAGAGGTAAAATTTGTAAGTTTGTATGTAGGGCGTAACCTTTGGAACCGCTGGTCGGATTGCCGAAATCCTTTCACTGATAGATAGCTACAATGTTCCTGAGTGCTATAGGCTATAAATAAAATATTACGCTACGACCAAACGGAGCCGAGCAGCGGGTGAAACCGCGCGAGAATAGCTAGTCGTAAAATAATTACAAAATACATAAAATAAATCTATTTTTTTTTTAATTACAATTGCGATATTATGACAACTTTTGAAAAATCTTACGTGTAAGTACAGAATTAATCCAGGCGTTAAATTTTATACATACATACCTATATGCAATATTTTATTTACTTATTCACGAGTCATTAAATTGTCCGGCCTCGTTCTTACTTTGGTTTCGTATGGAAACAACAGGAAATAAATTATTCAAACTATTTAATGGACGTGAAGACAAGATAATGGAGTTGCCTATAACCGCGAGTAGAGTTCTTCGTAAGCCAAATACATATCCTGAAAATAAAAACTAACCTGGGTAGATACTATATTTTATTCCTCGCAAAACCAAACTACTTTCTTTAATAAATGTATTTAATACTATGTTTATTACATTACAATTTATAACAATAGATTCCAAAACAAGACCTTTTTTCTCGAGACGTTCTCCTAGAAAGACGTCCTCTTAAAAAAAGATACTTAAAAAAAGTGTCTTGTCAACTCTATGGGACAGTATAAAGTGTCTGACTTCGATTTTTTTATTGTAATAAGTAAACAGATTTTTTATAATTATAACATCAAAATTAAATGTTGAGACCTACTAAATTAGGACTAAATTACTTTATTAATTAATTAAATTACTACTTATAATCTTTCAATATAAATATACTTAATTATAAAAATATTTCGTATTTTACTAATAAAATATGTATTTAATAATGAATAATAATTATTTTTCTGACAACCTCAACTTTATAAAAGAGTGATTTCGAACTAAAGTTCGTAATATTGATAACAGGGAATCTTTTGTCCTTTATTATCTGACTGTCCAGTACGACAAGACCTTTCAGTTTCAGAGAAGTAGTCGCGTTTGTAGTTTTACCATGTTCCAGGATACGCTGGTCGCTTGATATAAAGAGCATCTTTTCATAGTCAATGCTAATGATTTCTTCATAGTAGGTACTAATTAATCTGAAGTATTTGTACCTCTAGGGTTCAAGGTGGGTGTGATTATACAGCTATATTGTTAATGTTATGAAAATCTCCTTAAACTATCAGATGGCGAAATACTTAACCCTAACATAGGGACTAACCTATAAAAACGTAATCATCTCATGAAAATATAATTAATAATTTACTAAAACTAAGCAGTTTAATTTTCTAGTATAATTTGAATAAAGCGACCTCTACACGCAATCGGAGGTACTATAGACAGACAGCCTACATAAATAGTAAAATCATCTACACATAGATGGCACTGTAGTCTCGGAAGTATTATTTTTATTTCATTGTAATGTTTGGGCCTTTTTACTGTAAATTGTTGTATTATTCAGTGAATAATTCTGATATCACTATATTAAATATGGTTAATTATTATGTACATTTTTAAATAACTTTCCTTTATCAATAACATGTTTACCTAACGTAAACCTATATTAAATTTCGCAGAAAAATAATTCACAATTAAACATATAACTTTATTTAATAATATTCACGCTATTCCGGAGATCACTTTCCTGACAGTTTTCCTGTTTAAACTTTTATTTATTTTTAAATGAAAGATTAAACAGGAAAACTGACACAGATTCTTAACTCGTACCAACAGTATTTAATTCCACGTCTGTCCTATATGTAAGTATGGAGATAAAATATTCTTTTGATTGTTAAATTTACTTATAGTTTCAAGTAATTATTGCAATAACTTACTTATCAATCATTTATTGATAAACCTTCACACATAATTACCTAATTTCAAACTTAGGTAATAGAATATATGAGAGACACCGATACACTGACAATAGTAAGCGCGGATCTGCGAACGGCGAGTAAGGGTAGCTCGCCGCCCATCCAGAACCAGACCCGAGCATACGGCGCGTAGCGTTCCGCGCGCGCCTCAAAAAGCCAGTAGTCCACCACAGATATAGACCTATAGGGCTGATGTTCAGCCAGGGGTGCGGGGCAAGCGCAATGTGGCACCGCTAGAAAAAGGAACGGAGGAGTTTTTAGTTAGCAATAGTCTGACACTGCCTCCCGCCCTGGCAGAAGTCATTTTATGATTTTGCCTACCAAATAAAAAAAGGTAATAGGATAAAAGCGGTGTCATAACACGAAAATCTAGCTTGAAATATAATTTGCCGCTAAACCTTCTCTAACATTTTAGATGTACGAAAGATGATACATCATGTTCAAAGACAAGCAAACAATATTAATGAAGCCACAGTGACATGAGTATGTAGACAGACTTGATTTATTGATTTTAATGGACTTCATCATCTCACATGACTCACTGAATGCCTGACCTGCGTACGCGACGCGACGTGACTTTGCTGTTTTCTGTATTAACAGACTATAGTTTTATTAATAATTATCGTGTGCAGATTAATCAAGTGCGCTAGGTAGAGCAAATTTAATTGAGATGTACCTATAAGGCTTTTTTAAATCATAAAAAAATGACTTCTCTTCCACAGGGAGTGTCAGACTCTTACTGGCTTAAAACCATCGTTCCTTCTCCTGCTCCAGGCCAAGAGCTTTTGTTGCGCTTGCCCCGCATCCACACATCGCCCCTGTTGGGCCACGTCTGATGGCCCATTGATCTCCCCCAAGAGCAACCCTAATATGGATTTTACCCAAAGTTTTGAACTCCAAAGCCTGGTTAATTGTACCTACTCTTGTTACGTGATTACGTGACAGTAGGGTACTTACTCTATTTTATTATATCTTCATTAAAGGACTCTTTTCTAAGTGGTAATAGTGACCGTCATAGCGGGTTTAGCAAAAATTTTCTAAAATATTAGGGGGTCTTGCTCCCTAAAAAGTAAGATGCCTTTTGAAAGTAAAGGCGAACTTCGTTTTATAATCAAAACCACCAAGGAGTATAATTATTATATTCCTTATAGCCGTGTTCCCCGAAGAGTATAACCTCGGTGACTTCTGGCCCAAGAGAAAGATTGCTTTTGAGTAAGCGTGCTCCATCTTAGGTCTCATCATCGCAGGCATGATAACGGCCAAATGCCTACCCATTACTAATTTTAAAAAACAATATCAATTCCATGATCAAAGTTATAATACAGGGAGGATAGATCTATCTGCTTGACAACTCTTTTCGAGAATTTATTTCGGCCCGAAATAAGCTTAAACATGACATTTGTAATTAATTGAAATTGGAAAATTAAATTATACATGACCTTTTTCATGAATGAAATTTTGAAGAAGTGTCTGATTACCATCTTTTAAAAAACATTGTGAAATAACGATCAATTTAAAAATTAACAACCTAATGACAAGTTTATTAATATTGCATGTCATCTTCCTCGACTTTTTTTTACTTGAACTGTCAAATGACGTAATTTTTGGCGCGAACCTTTTTTATTATCTGTTTCGCCACGTACGTACATAAGTAAAGATATTACAAGTCATCCTAGTCGTGAAGTCATCGTAATGATGAAATCAGTTCGACATTGTTTCAATAAAAAAAATCATGGTTTGTCATAACACACAAAAAAAATTGAGGTTTTATTAGGTATAAAAATAATTAAAAAATTTGGCAGACCTGTGAACTTTGTTGTAGTATTTTTTTAAATCATCTAGGTAATGCATTCTCCTGCCCTTTGTGAGTTTGTATTCTGCTCCAAGCCTCGTTACATTTTCATATTAAAGCATAAACAGCTTGCACCGCACATACCACAGAAAACTCAAAGATATTACGTATCCACATATACATATACATTGGTTGCAACCAATAGACCAACGAGACATCAAAATCCAAACCTTTTTCCTATTTTCGGTCTTTCAGATATTTAATATACCTATACAAAAGTAACAATCTCAATAACATAGTGTAGAAAAGAAACGTAAAAACGTTATAAAACCTTATTGTTAAATTATGTGGACAATAGACAAAAGGTTGAATCATAGCTGCATAGTTTTCGTTCCCAATCAATTGACAAGCATTGACATCGTAGATCAAAGAGTATAAACAAAATGAACAAAATATTTGTTTACAAAAATGTTGAAATAATAACTCATTTTAAATAAATTAAATAATATGTCTGCAGATTTTAGATTAAACGTACAAAGAATTTTCGTAAAGAATAATGATGTTGTAAACAATAAACTAATATTAAAATAATTAAAAGAAAAACGCAGTCACACACAAAACCTATGCTCGTACATAAAAAGTCTTTCCTTACCTGTGCTATGCTACGAAAACGGATAAAAAGGAGAAGAAGAACAATATTCATTGAATAAACAAAGTAAGTAATACTTAATTAACAAAATAACTAAAAGAACATTATATTTAGAAAGGTAGTTAGGTTTTGGTAAAGATCATTACCTAAGCGTAGTTTGGTTGTGTGGTTCTTTCCTCAAAAGACCACTACAGAATGAACTTGCACGGTTCTCTCACATTATGTTATTTTTACATTGTCTGGACTTGAAAAGATACTGACCTCTGAGTTTGTTTCGGCATTTCTTCTCAGAGTACTTAGTCAGATAGGAAATGCCGGCTTCATCTAGTTTTTCACATATAGATTGACGTGTAAAAGTGCCATTTTAAGGCCTATTTGCGAAATAAATTCATTGATTCATTGTTTCATTGTTTCAAGCCTCTCAAAGGCGTAGCGGTTTCATTATTTATTGTTATACGAGTAGAACTTATAACTTGATGAGCAAAAAAACATATCTTATTTTTAAGATTATAAAGTATATTTCTCTTCGTTTAATTAATAACACGCACGATATCTACTTAGATTACGTAGGTAATAAAAAA